TGGGCTCAAACAGCCATGACTGTGAGGATGGTACAGTGCCAGGCAGTGCTTCATTCTGCTGTACACAGAGTCGCTAGGAGTTAGAACAGACAGGACCAAACCTAACAGCAGCAAAAGCGTCATCTGGAAGTTTTGTGGGGTCTCCCACCTCCAGAATTTCTGACTCCGTAGTCTTAGGTGAGACTCCGGAATGCACATCTCCTACAGGCTCCCAGGCAATGCTGATGTCGATGTTGGGGCTGGTCAGGTGGTTATTGAGATGTGAGAACCACTGCTATCACTGATCTGCATTTAACTTGGCTCACGTGCCAGTGGTATAGAAGCCATGAAAAACCATCTGCACTCCACCTTGTTGAGTACATAAAGATTAAGGTAAGGAGAGAAGTCCTAGATGGTACCTGAAAGGTCAGCGGTTTGAATACACCAGTGGCTCTGCGGGAGAAAGACATGGCTATCTGCTTCCATAGATCTCAGCCTTGGAAACCTCAAGGGGCTGTTCTATTCCATCCTGTAGGGTCACTACAATTGGAATCAACTTGATGGCAATGAGTTCAGGTTTTTTTGAAGGCAAAATAGTATGATTCCTAGAAATCTGATACAAGAGCCACAAGTGTCAGTAAAAGGCAAGAAAGGGTTAAAACCATCATGACTGGGTTAAGTTGGACAATATCATTCAGGCACATAAGTGAGAAAGTGGAAGTCCCCGTGGCCAGTTGCAGTTGCCCAAGCTGCCCCGGGGACAGAGTGAGGCTTCCACAGAAGATACCATGCTCCTGGCCCAGCCCGCCTCTCTAACTGCAGTGCTTAGGCTTTGATGATGATGTGATGGACCTTCATTCCAACTCCTAGTGACCCCACAGCACAGAGCAGGACGGTCCCACAGGGTTCCCAGACTGCCGTCCTCAGAGGAGCAGATGGTCAGATCTTTCCTCGTGTGGAGTCTCAGGGTGGGTTTCAGTCACCCACCTTTTCGTTAGTAGCTCAGCATTTAGCCACCATGTCACCAGGGTCCTTAAGGCTTTGGCAGGTTTAAAATGTTGGAAAGCCTGTATCTTAGTGGACTACTGCAATGGGTAATGGTTAGTTTTGGTGGTCTAGCCCTCTTCATAGGAGCTTTGGTGGTGATATAGGATAAGCACTGGACTGCTAACCACAAAGTCCATGAGTCACACCCACCAGCTGCTCCTTGGGAAAAAGATGAAATGGTCTTGATCCCATAAAGATTTAGTCTCAGAAACCCTTAGCGTTTCTCATAAACATTTCTCAGGGTCACTATGAGTCAGTCAACTTGATGGCAGTGGGTTTGGGTTTTATCTGGTTAGCTCTGTGCGTGTGTGTGTGGTGAGGGGAAGGGCTGGGGGATACTTTCTTTTTACTTTATCGCAACACAACTATTTTTTAGGTTCTGCATGACTAACCTAAATTAGGTTCTCCAAGACATCAGGATTCAACTGCAATTGCAAACAGTTGACTCAAGGGATTGTGGACACTGCTTCTCTTGAGCTGTACCTCAGATAAGAGCCAAAGTCATTGCCAGGGACTTATGGGACCATCCAAATAAAAATGGCATCACCCACTTTCACAGTTTCCTACAGTACAAACGCTCAGTGTGTACCAACAGTGATGTGACTAGTTATTTCTGCATACCAGTGAGGGTCTCCTCTGTTTGGTTCAGTTATCTCTAATCTAGGTGACTCTTAGTGGACATAGCACAACGATTAAAAGAAAAAGAAACCCTTTGTTATTTTGGTCTATTTACTGTTCTGTGAAAACTGTACCAACTGGCACACCCTTAATAAAAACAGCAAAATAAGTGACAGAACCAAAAACTGCCAGCCAAGAAATGGACCATGTGTAGTCAGTGGAGCACTTGGAGGTAGAAAGGACAGTTTTCTCCAGCTGCTGTTTCTCCCTCCTGGGTGATCAGGACCCACAGAGAAGCTCTCCAGGGAGAACTACCCCTTGTATAGAAGCCTCACTGGCCGTTTTCCACTGAAGACTCGTTTTGTTTAGAAGAGAGTGCACTATAGTTAGTCTGAGAAGCTTCTTTACAAAGCCCGACTGGTCAGATTCGCTGCTCCCTACTGACCTATCTATCAGTAGAGTAGAGTGGACCAGAAGTCACCCTTCTCTAAGCTCTTAAAACTTTGGCTCGTGACAGACAGCAAGCAAACTAAGTTGAAAGGGGAATTATGCTGGCCAGAAGGCAGAAGACAGAAGGCACTTCAGATATAACTGCTACCTGGCTGAAACAAGAGGCCAACAGAGGGCCCATGCTACCAACATACAGTAAGGAAGGTGGGAAAACAGCTCTATATATGTTTAGGGATGTTTATGGCGTGGTACTGGAGGATCAGCACTAGACTGTGAATCACAAGGTTGGCAGTTCAAACCCACAGGCTGCTCTTTGGAAACCTGATATTGTTGTTGCTGTTGTTAAGTGCCATCGAGTTGATACCAACTCATAGTGACTCTGTATATACGGTTTCCAAGGAGCGGAGAGTGAGTTTGAACTTCTAACCTTGCAGTTTAAACTGACCTTGCAGTTCAGCACATTAAACAGGGTCATTATGAATTGAAACCGACTCGACAGCACTTAACAACAACATGGCAGAGATGGAAGTAGAACAGTCATTTTAACAGATACTCTTCACTCAGTAGCTTAAATTTACTATTAACACCCAGTAGTTGATTCAACTAAAATCCAAAGGCTCGTAATTGAAGCAAGCGTTGATCTGATCCCAGGCTTGCTACAGAGTCTGCTCCCAGGACCAACTGCCCCAACAGTGCTGGGAGCGGGTTAGAACTGCAGAGCCTCAGGTCCCTCCCCAGATCCACTGAAAGGGAATCTGCATTTCCCCCAGATCCCTCCGTGATACTGCTGCATGCCCACATTTCAGAAACACCAGTCTTTCACTGGAGACCAGGGCCTGCATTGGTCCCAGTATCAGTTTCAGCATGAACTAAGTTCCACACTACATCTCCCAACCTTCCATGGCCATTAGCCCATGTACTGTGCACAGTACTGGCAGGGCAAGGAGATCAGGGAGAAAAGTGGCCCTTCTCAGCTAAGATTCAATGAAAGCTTCACAGTAACAGAATCAAATTATTTTATAAAACACCTACGTAATTTAATGAGAATTCACTTTTCTAAAAAACAAAACACAAAAATGAGGATAAAAGAAGCACATCAAGACTTACTAGTCCTTGTCAGCCAAATGCTTTTCCTTATACTTGAGCTTCCTTCCTCATGCTTGGGTCCTGTGTTTTCTCGTACCAGGAAGAGTAAACTGGCTAGAAGGTTCATACACAAGAAGGTCAGGACAACTTTTAAGCTCTTTGATGCTAATGATTCGTACATTATAGTTGGCAACTCTAAGAAACGAGATCAGACAAACACTGCCAAGTCTGTACTCCCAGAGCTGGTTTCCTGTTATTCACTGACATGGCATCTTTGGAAACACATCAATGTCCCTTCATTGTAGCTTCTACCTATCCCAGCACATGAACCTTACAACCCTTACGTAGGCTCCAAGTTCAAGTATGAAAATGTGTTTCAGGACACGTCCATATTGCTGTAGTGTGTTCTCTTAGTAGTGTCACCTGGGTGTCACCCCATGAACAGGCTAACCAAATGGCAACATAGTGCAGGGGTCCCCAGTCCATTTCCCACGGCCAGACTTGCTCCCTGGTAGATGTGACACCGCCCCATAGTTAAAGTTGGAATCTTGCAGTCAGTGGACTTCTTCATTCGGAAGCTGTACTCATATGCAGCGGAAGTCATTTCTTCATTACTAAGGAGCTTTTAACAGATGTCAGGCATACTCTAAAAATAAAAGATAATATAAAAATGTAACTTTGGGGTAAGAGTCTACATTTGGGTAATTTTATAGTCTTAAAGGATTTAGAATTATATGAGGAAGACAGACTGAAAATGAACGCTTAGCACTCTGTAGCCGACTCGAGGTCTTCTCCCACAGGTACACGAAGGCAATCACTCTGTAGGGAGAGCCCTCCCAAGTCCCAGGCTCTGGCATGGTTTATTTGCAGATGTTCAAGGTGCCATGGAGCCAATTCACACTGCCCTTATCTGACTGACTAAGAAAAGCAGAGTCCTTAAAGAACCTGAAAAAGAGAGCAGCAAGGGCAGAATCACTAAGGCATCAGCTGATGGTCAGCAAAAGGAGCCCTGGTGGCAGAGTGGGGTAAGTGCTGGATCGCTAACTATAAGGTAAGTGGTTCAAATCTCACTATGTGAGAAAACGATAAGGCTGTCTTCTCCCATACATATTTCCAGTCTTGGAAATCCAGTGGAGCCGCTCTACTCTCTTCTACAGGGTCACTATGAGTTGGAACCAACTCGCCAGCAATGGCTTTTAAGTGTTTTGGCATTGTTACCAATCATGGCCAAGAAAAACAGTTGCCTGCATCCTTGTTGATCACTGCTCATATTTCTCACTAATGTTTCCCAAACCAAGCATGTGTCTGATTCTTAAAATGAAGCTGAATCCCACATTTAGTAAAAACAGGAGTGCTCTTGATGGAGCAGGCCATGATAATAGACAGACACTGGTAAACCAAAGCCCTTCTCCCAAACACAAGGAGGTCCTTGACTTCACATGAAAATTACAAACTCAAGTTAATGTATGTCCAGGGAAGAGACTCATTTAAACAATTTCAGAAAGCCAAGAACTTCATTTGTGCTCTCCTCATGCACAACAACCATCCCAGTTGGGTTCTAATGAAGTATCTATTCATAGCTTAAGTGTTTCACTCTGGAGGCACAGAAAATCCTACTCACTGTGACACAGGAAAATGCTACTAATTACTTCTCAGTAGAAACTGACTCGTGACAGTACATGAAATCTACCTGCAGTCAATACTCTTTAGACTTGGGGAGACCTGTGGTCCCCACAGCGGCTGACTACCTCTCTGTCCATGTCCCTGGCACTATCAGCCAGAGCAGAGACCAGCATAGAAGATGGTCTGGATAGCAAACCTTAGGGCGCATCCTGGGGCGGGGCTGCAGGCTCCTGGCGCTCAGGCTCTGGAGGCGGGGCTGGTGCGGCTTCTTTTTTCTTGGCTGCCAGGAACTCATGGATTGCTCGTTCTATCTGTGGCCTGAAGATGTGGTTTAGTTTTGGATCCACGACCTGGGAAATTATTCTGTCCACTCCGGCTTCCAGCATCCCTGACCTTGTAGAGACAAACACCAGTCAGTTACTGGTTCCTTTGAAACTCATTTTTAGCCCCAAACAGTGTCATGTGAAGACCCAATGAATGACCCCCCTGGCCCAGCATTCCGAGGGGGTTCTTTCAAAGGGCAATCTCTTTACTACACATAGTTCAAGGCACTTTGGTTTCACTTTTGAAGAGCAATTCACAAGCAGCAAGTACCTATGTTTCTCAATTCACAATCTGGTCCAAATTAGCCCTAAGCTACTAAGGGGCTAAAATAAATTTTGACTAAAAATTAGTGAATGCCTGTATTCAAATACTTGGGAAGAGGTAGTGAGGAAGACTATGGTGACAAGAAGTATATCACATTTGAAAAATTTGGAAGGTAGCTCATGCAGGCTGGCTCAAACTGCAAGCTCAAGTTTTCTTCTCAGGATGAAAACATTCAAATGTCATCACAAGCATATGAGCAGGTTTTACTTATTGGAACCCTTAGGTCACTGCAGCCTTTCCTTGGGTGAAACAGATCCTGTTTCTGTGCGGGGAGAGCAAAGGAAACAAATGTGTGAAGACACCCAGTGACAGGAAGATGGGAAACAGGCCTTAAACCAGGAGTCAGTGGGGAAGACCAGCATATCAACAGGAAGCCCTAAAGTAAACACACAGCTATTAGCATATTTACAGGAACGGCTTCAGATAGCCCGTGCATTAGACCTGTCCACCCATATGACCAGGAATGGGAGCCCCAGGGAAGGCAGTAGTAGGCCTTGGGTCAGTTGTGAAGTTGAGCCAAGGCTCTTCGATCACTAAGCCAATACCTTTCCAATTACACCAGGCTTCCTCCTCATGGGGTGTTTACTGGAAATAAAAGTCTGATGGGAGAACAACAAACTAAGACAGCGCAGATCCCGTTCTTGGAGATTTTAAAAGAAAAGTGTTTTGGGGAAAGGTGAAATCTTATCAGAAACCTAAAAACAGGAGATGAAATGGACAAGTATCAGGCAATGAAGAGAATTATCTGTCGTAATTAACAATCTAGCAGGTGTGAAGTTAAGCCAAGGAAACTGTAGAAGTGGAAAATGTAGAAGTGGACCACACAGTGAGTCCTGCCCCAAGGACCTGCGGCTCATCTTGGGAGAGCACCTTAGGCTCATGTAGCAGATCTTCCTTAGGCAACTTCCTAAAACTATCCACAAGAGCCATAAAGAAGTAGCCAGCATTAAATCTAAATGAGTGACTTCAGAGGTTATGTTATTTTTCATCTAGATCAAATAAAAAAAGCAGGAAAAATGCATATGAGTGTTAAAACTGCGAAGAAAAGCAAGGCAGTGATTAACATGAAAGTCAGGAGTCTGTGAAACCTCTGAGAGAAGAAAGGAATGTCCAAGAAAGGGTGGAAGCAGAGCCAGGGGGTTGAAAGGTGCTTCTATGAGGGGACTTCAAACAGTTCCTAGAAAAATGGAATGAAAGATCATGGAATTTTTCCCCATGAACACTTCGAAACCCCGTTACTTCTGGGTGGTGATCACAGGGATGCTCACTAATGGTCATAACGCACTTTTGTGCACATTTCTGTGTTCCTTTCCATAAGACAGTGAAGCTATGTGACATGAAACACCACACACTACCCCTAGAATGGCATCTTGCTCAGTTACAGCCATGTTGACAGTCAGCATGCCATGGACAGCACCCTTCAAATGTTCAATTTTGAGATAGTCTCCTAACACACTGGCCAATGCTTTTGAAGTCAGGCTAGACCACCTTATCTGCTACTTCAGTTATAAAAATAGGCTTGCTGGGAGAGTGAACAAGAAGACACACAGGAGCAGAGCCGGGCATGGAGTTAGCTGCCCGTAAGTAGGAGCCACTGCCCCCTTCTTTCTGAAAGACCACTGTGCCACCAGTCTGCTCCCTAAAGAAACAGCAAGTTTCTGACCAGGTAATAGCTCCCGAATGACAGGCACCGGCATCTGTTGAGATCATCTCAGAGAGCTTTCCAGATGTTAGCTTTCTTTATATAAAAAGGTTTAGATTTGGTAACCATAAGGCATAATGAAACTTCTAGCTTGTTAGTGAAAAGTGTTCTCTTATTTTAAAACTTATTTTCAAATAATGATAGATTCACAGGAAGACCCAGGCCTGCTTCTCCCAGCTACCCTTCATGTTTGCACGTAGCATTAACAATAGTACAATATCAAAACTAGATCAATATGACATTGGTACCACCCACAGACCTTACCTAGATTTCATGGACTTGTGTGTGTGGCTCTATGCACTTTATTACACAATAACCAAGACACTTCATTGTACCATCATCACAAGGCTCCCCCTTGCTACTCCTACAGTCACCACCACCTCCTCCCACATTCTGATGCCTTGGCACCCTCTAGTCTGTTCCCCCTCTCCATTAGGTGCTATTTCATGACTGGGAATGGAATCTTACACCATACAGCGTTTTTCAATCTTGGCATAATTTCCCCAACTTTTCTATTCTCCAAGAGGGAGGCTTCAGGTGCTTTTATCCCAGGAGCATTCAGTGGACCAGGAAGGCCTAAACACAAGTGTGAACAGTAAGTGCCACCGACTCTGGACAAATCAGGAGAAACCACTCTTCTCTTAGGACAAAAGATCCCATGGTCCACTGTGCCAAGTATCCAACAATGATATTTTACATAACTCTCAATATCTGTATGTTCCAACTACACTGAAAATGCCAGAGAGCAATTTGGGTCATTTTTAAAGGCACCCCACAGAAATGTGGGCAAGAGGTCTACTGAGGCTCGACAAAAGAGCAAGAATCTCAGTTGAACACTGTGCTTATTGATTGCTTTAACCTTGTGTTAATAAAGGGCAGATTCCTACCACTCCTATGCGATCTCTTGATATACAGCACTACCACCTTGACTAACAAGGAGCTCTGGTAGCACAGTGGTTACGAATCAGGCTGCTAACCTCAAGGTCGGCAGTTCGAAACTACCAGCTGTTCTGCGGGAGAAAGATGAGGCTTTCTGCTCCCGTAAAGATTTACAACCTCAGAAACCCTGTACTCCATGGTACTTAACAACAACAACCTTGACTAACAGCTTTGCCTCGCATACCTCAGATATATTATCAGGAGGGATCAGTCCCTGGAGATGAGCATCATGCTTGGTAAGGTGAAGTGTCAGCAAAAAAGAGGAAGAGCCCCAATGAGATGGATTGGGACTGTGGCAGCAGCAATGGGCTCAAGCACAGTAATAGCTGTGAGGATGGTATGGGCGGGGCAGTGTTTCACTCTGTTGTGCATAAGAGTCGCTGTGAGTCAGAACTGACTTGATGGCACCTAACAACAGCTACTGGTAGCGTAGTGGTTACGAATTGGGCTGCGAACCTTAAGGTCAGCATTCGAAACTACCAGCCACTCCGCGGGAGAAAGATGAGGCTTTCTACTCCCGTAAAGATTTACACCCTCGGAAACCCTGTACAGGGTCGCTATGAGTCGGAACCGACTTGACAGCACTTAACAACAACAACAACAGCTACCACCTTGATTGATTACCCAAGGCCTTAGATGAGCCTTCTTGAGCCTCACCTTCAGATCACTGCCCTTCCACTCTAAGTCCGCTTACTTACTGAACCACACTCTGCCTCAGACCATTTCGCAACTGGTTCTTGTTCATCGTGGGGTTCCATTCCTGCTTGTCCAGGTGTGTCGACACAAAATTGTCCACTTTCTGCCTCAGGTTTTGGTAAGCTGGCTAAAATATTAAGAAGAAAGGGGGCAAGTGAGAAGTCATTCAGCACACTGTCTTCCAAAGACATGCATACTTTCATGTCTAACTGAAGATACAGCACACGGAGGGATCACAGCATTCACAGTTACTGTTGGACAAACTGCGTTATAGTGAGCACAAGGCCGGAGGCTTTACTCACATTCTCTCCTTCCTGCCCCACGTCACAGATGAGAAATGTCGGCTTAGGGAGGAAATTACTTGCTCACATGGCTAAAAGTGTGACAAAGCCAAGGTCAGACCTAGGCTGCTTCTGAATCAAAGGGACCAGGCTCTTGTCCCAGCTCCACTGCTTACTAACTATTGTGCTTTCTACAAGTTGCTCACGTTCTGAGCCTGTCACTTCCACCTGCGAAACTGAAATGTTACTTAAAGGAGCTCTGGTAGCGTAGTGGTTACGAATCGGGCTGCGAACCTTAAGGTCAGCGGTTCGAAACTACCAGCTGCTCCGCGGGAGAAAGATGAGGCTTTCTACTCCCGTAAAGATTTACACCCTCGGAAACCCTGTACAGGGTCGCTATGGGTCGGAACCGACTCAATGGCACATAACAACAACAACAACAACCCTCTTACCTTACCTTATATGGGTTCTCAGCACCAAACGGGTCCCAGGAGAGCCTATCTGTATAATAAAGTGAGGGGCCACCCACACCTGAGCATAACACTTACAGCAAAGCCTAAGAAGCACCAGGAAGGGCTGTGAAGAGCAAGACCTAAGTCCAAAAGAGAGCATTCTCTGTTTGAGAGGCACTTACTGGTGGCTAATGTTCTAGACCCTTCTAATATCAGAAGAACTGAATTAGAAGTGACTTGGTGAACACGGGAATACATGTCCTGAGCCAAAGATTTTCTGGCTCTATCAGTGACTCTCCTCTCCTTCAAACCAGGTGGTAAAGAGAGTGGACTGCTGGCTGGCACTTTATGCTGCTCGCCCTCCCATAGTGGGCAGAGAGAACATGCTTCTCCCTCCCAATACTGTTGAGCTTGTGACTTGCTTTGGCCAGTGGAATGTTAGTGACACAAGGCCTTAAATATGCTTGTGCCGTATGTCTAGCTCTTGTGCTCCTCTGGAAGGGCATGTCCATGGGAGTCAACGACCCTTCAAGCCTGGGATCTGAAATGAGTATAGGTGTGGTGGTTATGTACTGTGGAGTCGGTTCCAACTCATAGCGACCCTGTACAGGGTTTCTGAGGCTATAAATCTTTACGGGAGCAGAATGCCTCATCTTTCTCCCGCGGAACAGCTGGCTGGTAGTTTCAAACTGCTGACCTTGAGGTTTGCAGCCCAATTCGTAACTACTACGCTACCTGAGCTCGTGAGTATAGGTGTAGCAGACATAAATGCAATCTACAGCCTGGATCCAAGTCCAAGTAACCTAGCAGGGAGTCAGTCACCAGCTGAAGCCTAAGCTGACCCGCAGCTTGAGCACATGGTTCCAAATTGTTCACAGAACAGACAGACATGTTACACAGCAACCAAATCTCCTACATGTGGGATTTTGACCTGAGTAGGAACATTCTTACCAATGGAGAAAAGATTGAAGTTGTCAAGGACTTCATTCTTCTTGGATCAACTATCAACACTCGCGGAAGCAGCAGTCAAGAGATCAGACGATGTATTGCATTGGGCAAATCTGCTGCACAGGAACTTTTTAAAGTGTTGAAGAGCAGAGATGTCAGCTTGAGGACTAAGGTGCACCTGACCCAGGCCATGGTGTTTTCAATAGCCTCATATGGATGCGAAAGCTGGACAGTGAATAAGGAAGATCGTAGAAGAATTGATGCCTTTGAGTTGTGGTGTTGGAGGAGAATACTGAAAGTGCCATGGACTGCCAAAAGAACCAATAGATCTGTTTTGGAAGACGTGCAGCCAGAGTGCTCCTTGGAGGCCAGGATGGCTAAGCTTCGTCTCTCATACTTTGGACATATTGTCCGGAGGAAAGAGTCGCTGGAGAAGGATGTTATGCTGGGTAAGGTAGAGGGTCAGAGAAAAAGAGGAAGACCCCTAACGAGATGGATTGGCCAGGTGGCATCATTGATGGACTCAAGTGTGGCAGCGGTAGTGAGATTGGCCCAGGATCGGACACTGTTTCGTTCTGCTGTGCATGGGGTCACTATGAGTCGGTTCTGACTCGATGGCACCTGACAACAACAACAACAACAGGAAGCAGACACAATCTTGCTTGCTGAAAGTGCAGAGAACTTGAAGCATTTATAGAAGAAAAAAATTAAAGACTACAGCCTTCAGTATGTATTACAACTCAATGTAAAGAAAACAAAAATCCTCACAATTGGATCAATAGATACTGTCATGACAAATGGAGAACATATTGAAGTTTTCCAAGCTTTCATTTTACTTAGATCCATAATTAATGCTCACAAAAGCAGCAATAAAGAAATCAAAGAATGTATTGCACTGCGCCAGTCTGCTGCAAAAGACCTCTTGAAAGTATTAAAAAGCAAAGAAGTCACTTTGTGGACTAAAGTATGCCTGACCCTAGCCATGATATTTTTAATCACCTCACATGTGTGGAAAAGCTGAACAATGAATAAGAAGACTGAAGAAGAATTGATGCATTTGAATTAGGGTGTTGGCAAAGAATATTGAAAAGTACCATGGACTGCCAGAGAACAAACAAATCTGTCTTGGAAGAAGTATAGTCAGAGCGCTCCTTAGAAGGGAAGATGCAAAGACACATGTGCTTTGGACAGGTGGTCAAGAGGGACCAACCTCTGGAAAAGGACATTATGTTTGGTAAAGAATCAGCAAAAAAGAGGAAGGCTCTCAATGACATAGAAGCTTCAACAATGGGCTCAAACATGGCAATTGTGAGGATGGCGCAGGACTGGGCAGTGTTTTAGTCTGTGACTAGACACAGACTCAGGGGCACCAAACAACAACAGGAAACAGGTATCGGTGCCCCACTCAAAGATGGCAGTAGACGCACATTCAAAGCAATGTAGTTGGTGGCCATCTTTGAGCAGGGCATTGCTACTTCCTAAATAAACCAAACTCACAGACATCAAGTCAAAAACCATATACACAGAATAGAACTGCTACACAGGGTTTCTAAGGCTATAAATCTTTAGAGAAGCAGATGGTCACATCTTTCTCCGGCAGAGCAGCTGGCGGGTTTGAACTGCCATCCTTTAATTTACAGCCAAGTGCTTTAACCACGGCACCACCAAGACTCCTTGTCAATTTCCTATTTGGGTTAAAATCCCAAACCCAAGAGATTTGGTTATTATGTAGCATGTACGTTCTCTTGGTCACAATTGAAGCGTTTCGAACTGGTTCGAAGCTCTGCCTCACAGCATTGTTGTTGTTAAGTGCCATCGAGTGGATGCCGACTCATAGCAGCGTCCCTGTTTCCAAGGAGGGGCTGGTGCATTTGAACCACCCACGGACCTTGCTGTTGAGGTCAAGTGCTTATCCTACCTAGGGTGCCATACCAAGACTCCACCTCTCAGCATAAACAAGTACAAATGCTTACTGTTATAAGTCACTGAGGTTTGGTTTCATATGCAGCATTACTGTGGTAAAAGTGCTAATTCATCAGGCAAATGAAATCATCAAAACCATCAGTAGGCCCTACACCATGAGTGGTGGTGGTGGTGATGTGCTATGGAGTCAGTTCTGACTCATAGAGACCCTGTACAGGGTTTCCGAGGCTGTAAATCTTTACAGGAGCAGAAAGGCTCATCTTTCTCCCACAGAACAGCTGGTAGTTTCAAACTGCTGACCTTGAGGTTAGCAGCCCAGCTCGTAACCACTACACTACCAGAGCTCCTTTTTCCATAAGTGGACTCTTAAAATGTCAAGAAAGCAGACTCACAAACCTAAAGACTCTCCACTAAACTGGAAATGAGGAAGGCTGGAGGAGGGTGAGAAGTAACATTTACAGTAAGGACTCCTTTGTCCTAGTAACTGTCTTCTTCTCCCACAAAGGTAGGGGAGTAGCTTACAAGCAGAGTTCCCAAAGATCCTCACAGCTGGAGTAGAGCAAGGGAAAGATGGAGGACTCCACACTGCGGTGGCAGGATCCTGTCTAAGAGCAGGTTGGAAAGAGAGAGCTGTGCTAGGGAATCCCTGGTTGTCAACACATCCTCCCTCTCCTTCTCGTACAGTTTGTCCACTCAATCCTTCCCTGGAGTGTCAGGCGTCAACAGAATCCCCACTTAGCTTAAAGGAGTTAGAATTAGATGTGTGTTACTTGTAACCACGAATCCTGATGCCATTATCGTCTACTACTCAAAACAGCTCACCCAGTTTCAGATGAGATGATAGAAACTGTTTACTGAAAAAGAACAAAGGAAAGCAAATGCTACTTGCAATCCTTCAGCAGACCTGACAATATAGAACTATTTCTTCAGCTCATGAATTGGAAGCATCTATGTGTCTACCAATAACATTTTGCTAGAGGTGCTTTCTCGCATATCTATCCATCTAAGCCTCGTTTGTGGTGCTAGAGGATAAGCACTGGACTGCTAACTGAAAGGTCAGAGGTTCAAACCCACCAGCTGCTTCTAGTAAACCCTGTACAGGGTTGCTATGAATTGGAACCAACTCCAGGGTACTTTACAACAACAACAATCATCTTTTGGGAGTGTGATGGCTCTGTAGGTAAGCACTAGACTGAGAACCACAAGACTGGCAATTCAACCCCACGGGCAACTCTGTGGGAGAAAGATGAGACTTTCTGCTCTTTTACAGCCTTAGAAACTCTATACAGGGTCACTATGAGTCAGAACCAACTTGACAGCACCTAACAACAACAATAATCACCTTTTGTTGTTGTTAAGAGCTATGGATTTGGTTCCGACTCATAAGCGACCTTGTATAGGGTTTCCAAGGAGCGGCTGGTGAGTTTGAACTGCTCATCTTGTGGTTCAAACTGACCTTGTGATCCAGCGCATTATGATAGCACCATACCAGGACTCCAATCCTCTTTCAGTACCCATCAATTCATTCTATTTGTTTATTTATATGTACTTTGGATGAATGGCAAAGTAAATTACAGACAACAATACACTCCCCTGATGTGGCGCTGTGGGTTAATGTGCTGGACTGCAAAGTTGTTTTAACTGCAAGATCGGCAGTTCAAGCTCACCAGCTGCTCCTTGGAAACCCTATACAGTGTCGCTATGGGTCAAAATCAACTCAATGGCACTTAACAACAACACACTTCATTAGTCTTAAAGGGGGATCTAATTGTGCTCATGAGGAATCTGTACATGGACCAAGAGGCAGTTATTCAAACAGAACATGGGAACACTGAATGGTTTAAAACTAAGACAGGTGTGCAACAGGGTTGTATTCTTTCACCATACTTCGTCAATCTGTACGCTGAGCAAATAATCTGAGAAGCTGGGTTCTATGAAGAAATATGTGGCATCAGGATTGGAGAAAGACTCATTAAAAACCTGTGATATGCAGATGATACAACCTTGCTTGCTGAAAGTGAAGAAGACTTAAAATATTTACTGATGAAGATCAAAGAGCACAGCCTTCGGTATGGATTGCATCTCAATGTAAAGGAAACAAAATACTCTTACCACTGGATCAATAAACAACATTCTTATAAATGGAGAAACAATTGAAGTTGTCAAGGACTTCATTCTTCTTGAATCAACTATCAACACTCATGGAAGCAGTAGTCAAGAAATCAGATGACATATTGCATTAGGCAAATCTGCTGCACAAGATCTTTATAAAGTGTTGAAGAGCAAAGATGTCAGCTTGAGGACTAAGATGTGCCTGACCCAAGACATGCTGCTGACCCAGGGACCACACTTTTGAGAATACAGAGTTAAACAAAGGTCTCTGGTAAGATATGCTTGAAAACACTGTCCTCAAGAATTTTTAAAAAAACAACCCTGGTCACTACTAAAAGACACAATTAAAGAGGCAAAAGGGGTTATGATGAGTCCAGGTGGCACAATGGTTAAGTGCTCAGTGCTTGGCTGCTAACCTGAGGGTTGGCAGTTCAAACTCACTCAGCAGCTCTATGAGATAAAGACCTGATACTATGTTCCCTATACAGGGTCACTATGTGTTAGAACCAACTGGACAGCACTTAACAACAACAGTCTGTTTCTGTAGAGATTATCCAGTGCCATTAAGTAGACTCCAACAGAGTGACCCTCTAACAATTCTATTGGACAGAGTAGAACCATAAGATCCCCTTTATAGAAACAAACTGCTACAATCTTTCTCCCAGAGCAGCTAATAGGTTGGAACTGCTGACCTTTCAGTTAGCAGCTCTATGCTGAACTACTGCACTATAGGCTTATGGGGCAGTTCTGCTTGGTCACCTGGGAATGCTGTGAGTTGGAATTCACTCAACAGCACCCAACAACTTACGTGGTTGCTTTTCAATCCTACTTCCAGATAGCTTCTCAACATTCTGATTCATTAAAAAAAAACCTCCCATGCATGTACAACATTGATTAAGCCCCATAAAACTTAATCATAAGAAATGAATGAGGAATTTGTTGATGGGAAGTAGAGATCATTTAGAGTCCTTTTAAATTAGCTGAAAGTGGACAGCTGATGTAGTATTTGGACTCCTTAAATAAAGAAAATCAAATACCTTGTTTCGAGGCTATCACTTCTAACTTTTTTTTTTTAAATCTCAAAGGCATAAAACAGTATGCAGAACTTACTAGATATATTGTTTATCAGTCAATATTGTCCTATGATGCAGGAAATATCAAAAGAAGTTGGAAGGAATACAGAGAGTCACTGTACCAAAAAGAATTGGCCGACATTCTAACCAGTCCAAGAGGCAGTATATAATCAGGAACCAATGGTATTGAAGGAAGTAGTCCAAGCTATACTTAAGGCACTGGGGAAAAACAAGGCTCTGGAAAATGATGGAATAAAACTGGAATATTCAACAAACTGATTCAGTGCTGGAGGTGCTCACTCGTCTATGCCAAGAAATTTGGAAAATTGCTACCTGGCCAACAAACAAAGGTGACCCAACAGAATCTAGAAATCATCGAACAATATCATTAATATCATATGCAAGTACATTCTTACTCAAGATAATTCAAAAACGGCTGCAGCAGTTCATCTACAAGGAGGTGTTAGAAATTGAAGCCTGATTCAGAAGAGGATGTAGAACTAGAGGAATCTTTGCTGGCGTCAGATGAAGCTTGGCTGAAAGAAGAGTATCAGAAAGATGTTTACTTGTGCTTTATTGACTACACAATGGCTTTAGACTGTGTGGATCATGACAAGCTATGGATAACATTGTGAAGAATGGGAATTTCAGAATATTAACTCTGCTCATGAAGAACCTGTACACAGACAAACAGAACAAGGGGACACTGAATAGTTTAAAATTAGGAAAGGTCTGCCAGGGTTGTATCCTTTCACCATAGTTACTCAATTTGTATGCTGAGCAAATAATCTGAGAAGCAGGATTATGTTAAGAAGAACGTGGCATCAGTATTGGAAGAAAACTTCAGTGAGGCAAAGAGAATTGGAAATTCTACGGCATTCTTACTTACCTACCTGGCTTTTCTCCACTGTTGGAAACAGATTTGAGGTTTGTTATTGAAGGGTGTTATTGAAGGGTGTAAAGAGTCCCATCTTGAGAATGACAGAGTTTGGGTTCTAAAACTAGTACTGATCCCTCCAGAGTTCAAAGAAGCGAGTAGATTAAATCTTACAGCTATAGTGAGCAATTTACTGGGGGTTGCCCCTATGGCATGGGATTCTCAAATAAGCGCCTGGTGTGGCACTGTGGGTTAACACGTTGGACTGCAAAGTCCGTTTGAGCTGTAAGGTTGCTCCTCCTGGAAGGCACTTAAAAACAACATAATGCGCTCAGAGTGGAATCCACACAGGCAAGAGTAAGAAAGCTCTGTACTGCCCCAAGTGGTCTAATACTTCACGGCTGAGATTCAATTTTTTGCATTTTTGTCTCTACTTTGAAAAGCAAAGAAACCCTAGTGGCACAGTGATTAAGCACTCCAGTTTAAGCCAAGGATTCGCGGTTCGAACCCACCAGCAGCTCGGTGAGAGAAAGACGTGGTCGTCTGTTTTCGTGAAAGATTACATCCTTGAAAACCTTCCAGGTCAGGTTTTCGCTATGAGTCGGAATGGACTAGATGGAATCGGGTGTCTGGGGATTTGGAAAAGCAAGACTGCAAGCTCGGCGGCCTCACGCCAGCCCGGCTCCCAGGCGGTTTCGGCAGCTACCTTGGTGTCCACGTCGGCCAGGCAGTCCCGGCGGAAGCTGTCAAACAGGCCCCGGCTCTTGAGCTGCTCAACGATGAGGGCGATGAGCTGCGGGTCGCCGGGGGGCAGCGATGCCGGGTTGATAGGGCCGCCGCTCCCGCCGGGCCCTGTGACGCCCGATGCTGCCCCAGCCGAGACCTGGCCCGCTCCGCCACTGCCCACCGTGCCCGATCCCCCACCGCCGTCAGCCATGGCTGCGCCCCGAGCCCACGGCAGAGACCGAATAAAGCTGCTTCTAGGGGCAAGAGGGCCTGAGTCAGGCAGAGGAGGTGGTGGAGGAGTCAGGTTCCAAAGAGGTGAGGGAAATGGGGGAAAGGGTAGAGGGCTGGGGCCGCGACGGCGATTGAGAAGATAAGCTCGGAGGCGAGGAAGGTAGCGGTGGGAACGGCCGAAACCTCCGCTCAATACTCAGCGCGCTCCAGATTGCGTCACTCCTAACCTTTGCATTCTGGGGCATGAGGATTTTGGCATCATCGCTGGCTTTCTTATAGGCAAAGGGCTGGCCCACGAAAACTACAATTCCCAGCAGGCTTCGGACGCGCCATCGCTAGTTTGCCGGCTGTATGGACATTGTAGGAGTCCTGGTGTGGCGCTGTAGGATAAGCACTGGGCTGCAAGATGGGCTTGAACTTCCAAGTTTGGCGGTTCAAATCCACCGCTCTTTGGAAAAACCTATACAGGGTCTCTATGAGTCGGAACCGACTCGCCAGCACTTAACAAAAACAATGGATTTTGTAGGCTTAGACCCTCTCAACCATATCGCTGCTACCCTTCCAATAAACCAATGATGGTAAGAATCATCTGCGGAGCTGGATCTGCGGAGCTGGTGGTTATGTGCCCTGGAGTTGGTTCCAACTCATAGCGACTCTGCATAGGGTTTCCGAGGATGTAAATCTTTACGGGAGCAGAAAGTCTCCCGCGGAACGGCTGGTAGTTTCGAACTGCTGACCTTGAGGTTAGCAGCCCAAATCATAACCACTACGTTACCAGCGCGCTGAAAGACTTCATTATCAGGCTTATCCCTTGCAGATTCTGATTCAATATTTAGAAATTTGTGTTTTTCTCGTGTTTTTCCACCCGTCTTGAACAACACGATTCAGGAAGTTTGGGAAACAGTGCACTAGTCAAATTTATATTATTATTTAAAAAGTAGAATTTTCATCGTGGTGTTAGTAGCAACATATGCTTATTTTAGCAAATTGGAAAATAACAGAATAGTGTAAGGAAGAAAGTTAAAATCTCTTTTAAGTTTCTTTCTTTTACATGTGGTGAATTTTCTCCCAGACATTAATAATTTAAAATAAATATTAAAAATAAATATAAAGAACAATTCAAAAGTTCGAATTGAGTAACTGGAATATTCCAGGCACCATGATAAGCACTTTACAGGCATTATTCACAACCATCTAAGTAATTGCTGGTTTTATTCCCCTAGCTCACAGTGCTAGATGTGGAAGAATAAGATTTGAGCGTCCTGGTGTGGTGCTGTAGGAGAAGTAAACTTGGTTTGAACTGCAAGGTTGGTGGTTCAAACTCACCAGCGGCTCCTTGGAAAACTTATACAGAGTCGCTATGAGTCAGAACCAACTCGGTGGCACTTAACAACAACCACAACGCTATATCCTGTGTCTGACATCATACAGTGGATAAAGTTTTATATCTTGATTTTTTTATAGCCATGGTTCATCATTGGAACCGTATGGCTGCTACCAATATTCTCTCTTCTTTTCATGTTTTTTGTCCATTAGCTCAACTGCTGCTCACAATCCTGGCAATTATGCCTTCTGCTGTTACTTTATATTGTACGTAGTCATAGAGGGAATGTGAAAAATAACTTCTGCAAAATCCTTGACTTCTGGGAAGATGCAGAATTGGCAGAGAGGCGGAATGTTCTCCACTCCAGCATTTACTGCTCAAAAGAGTTTAAATTAGCCCTTAAGATATTCAGGTGTTAGTTTCCACTCATCATTTAACATCAGCTCAATTTTCTTTAATGGTTGAGTTAATGACAAACATTCTCTCTTATATACCTTCACCATTCTTGAGATCTATTCCTACTAATATGGAGCCCTGGTAGCGTAGTGGGTTACATGATGTGCTCCAACCGCAAGCTCAGCAGTTCAACCCACCAGCTGTTCCGTGGGAGAAAGATGACATTTCTGCCCCCGTAAAGATTTACAACCTCACAAACCCTATACAGGGTTGCTATGAGTCAGAAGACTTGATGGCACGTAGTACCAGCATTCCTACTGATGAAGCTGACAATTTCCTTGCTCACCTTTAGCCACATGGCAAGCCCATTCAGGCTGCCTGGGTGGGTTCCAGGCTTTTTTCCCCCCAAGCTCCCTGACCACCAGGACCAATCTCTCCTCCAGCTTGGCTATACCCAGGAACATACCCAATAAGCAAAGAAAGCACGGACTTCCTAGTGCCTATGTTCTTAGATACTCATTCTTGTATTACTTACTGTAATTGACAGTGAATTGGTTTTAGGCTAATTGGCAGCCTGTTTCCCCTGCTGGAGTGTAAGCTTTATAGCAGGGACCACAACTTGTTCATCAGCCCATAACTCAGAAAAAAAAAAAAAAACTAAACTCTTTGCAACAAGTTGATTCTGATTCATAGTGATCTCACATGTTTCAGAGTAGGACTACACTCCACGCGGTTTTCAGTGGTTGTAATATAATGGAAATAGATTGCCAGCCCTTTCTCCTGTGGTACCACTGGGTGTATCTCACCCGCCAACCTTTAGGTTTGTACCTGAGAGCAAACCATTTGTACCACTCAAGAACCTCTCTCAGAAAAGGTCCCAATAAATAGTGGTTGAATGAATGAGTGTATGCTTAAATTCTTGTCTGTTTCCTATAGCCATGGGCTAGGGCCAGAAGTTGTGTGGGTAGGATCGTTGTAGCCACAAGCTTCAGAAATGAAAGCATTTTAGGAAAAAGTGATGGATCAGTTTGTCATAACCTAATGGGTAGGTGATCTCAGGCGATCCTGGAAATGGGCAGCAATTGTTCACCCTGTCACTGCGACATTGTGTCCTGATTGCTGCAATTCTGAACAATGAGAAGGTTGTTCCCCTATGCCGGTGACTTTGCCTCTGAAATTGATAGAAATGGGGAAGGCAGATCAAGATTATTGTTAAATGCTGTGGAGTTGGTTCCGACTCATAGTGACCCTGTATAGGATTTCGGAGAGCTGCTGGTGGGTTTGAACTGAACTTGCCCTACCAAAACAGTATTTACCTTACAAACCTTGCAAATTCAGGGCCGATCCTCTCAAGGTCAAGGAAAGTGTAACACACAACCATGGTCAGCAGGGAGCGCTATTGATGTACTAATCATCCAGAATGTTTCAAAATCTGCACAGATTTTTTTTTTTTTTTCAATTTTAGCCTAGGTTTTCAGGTTTTGTTCAGTACCAGTCATGCTGGTTCAAAGTCATAACATGCCTCCATAATGAGATGCATGAACCCAGAGAACTGTACATATTAGATGCTGGCATATTTTAAGTCTAAGATTACAGGGAGTGTAGAGCTTCTTCAAGCCCAAATTCACACATCAAAGGAGAAAGGGCAGAAACTAGGAAATAACTGAGATTCATCAGCTGCTAAGGGGGGTAGGATATGAGTAGTCAGGTTTGTGAGTTTTTGCATCAGATTGTGCTGGATTGGAATCCTAACTCTGCCACTTTGTAGGTGGTATGGCCTTGGAAAAGTTGCATTGCCTCTCTGAGACTCAGTTTTCTCAGAACTGTGAAGAGGATTAAGCACAGTTTTGTCAATTCAATTAGCATAGTGCCTGGTTCTTTGTTGTTATTGTTAGGTGCCATCCAGTCAGTACCAACTCATAGTGACCCTATACACAACAGAACAAAACACTACCCGGTCCTGGACCAACCTCACAATTGTTGCCACACTTGAGCACATTGATGCTGCCACTTTGCCAATCCATCTCGCTGAAGGTCTTCCTCTTTTTCTCTAACCCTCCACCTTGTTGTTGTTGTTAGGTGCCATCCACTCGGTACCAACTCATAGCGACCTTATGCACAGCAGATCGAAACACTGCCCAA